AAACAGGGGTAAAATGGGAAAAACCTGAAATAAAAAGAGGGTACAATAGGGTTGAAGAACCCTTCCCGCGGGAGTCCCGTTTGGGGCCGAGAAATGGCAGGAAAGGGCCCTAAAATGAAAAAGATGGAATATGTAGCAACAAAATCAAGGAGGCAGGAAAGGGTTTATTCCCAAGGGGAAAATTTAAAAACGGGAAACCAGAACCCAAACCCCTGGTTTTTCCCGACGGTGTAAAGGAGGGGAAAAAAAAAGGCAAAAGAGAATGGAAAAAGTACAGAAGGCAGAGAACACACAAAAAAAGGGGGATCAGTCGCAAAAGCCAAAGGGAAAGAGTACGCACAGGTAAGGAGGGAGGCCCAGCGACAGTATGAAAATGACATAGCATCGAGAATCAAGACTGACCCGAAACTGTTGAGGCCTGGTCACAGACCGGGCCGCGGGGGCGTTGACCCCCGAAAAATCTCTCCAGGTAAACTCCAGGTAGCCACATCAGGAGGAAGACAACAGTCAGAGACCAAGTGATCAGATTAAGGACAGAAGGTGGAGAACTCACAAGAAAATGATCAGGAGGTTTATGTAGGACAAACCCCGGGAATTTTAAAGGAAGTTTTTACAGTAGAGACAGGAAGGGCTGGGGAAACAGCCAAAAGGGAACCCCAAAGGGAAATTATACCAAAAAATTTTTGGATGACATCCGAACAACGGGGAGGGGGGTGAAAAAGCTTTTAAGTACCTTGACCCTCAAAGGCGAGGGGGCCCGGGACAACATCTCCCCAGGGGGTCCTTAGAAAAAGGAGCAAAAATGCTTTGTGTGCCTCTAACCCCAATTTTTCAACCCCAACCCCTTGAAACTGGGCAACTCCCCTGAAAATTTGGAAGACAGCTAATTAGTCCCCATTTTTTAAAAAAAAGGAAAAGAAACGAGGCACAAAAACTACAGACCTGTGTCTCGAAGGGAAATTGTGTGCAAATTCAGGAGAAGATTACAGGAGAGATTTGGTCGAACCCGGGAAAAGGGAAACAAGTTTAAAAAATTAAAAAAAAACCAAAATGGGTTCAGGGAAAGGGCCCAAATCTTTTTATCAAAAAAACCTCCGGATTTTTATGAAAAGGTAACAGAAGTAAGACACGAGAGAAAAGGTTTTTGGGTGGGATTGGTTTTCCTAACTGCGGGGAAGGCCCTTTTTGACACATTTCCCCCACAAGAAAAAGGGGCAAAAAGGGGAAAGGATCGGGCACACTAAAAGGAAGGGCACTGCAAGGGAAAAAGGGAATACCTACAGGGAGGCAGCAACAAACCATGGTTAAAAGAGTATCACAGGGGGCGCCCTTTTTACGAGGGGGGTCCCAGGGGGTTTCATTTTCTAGGCCCAGTGCTTTTTTTTGATATATTTGAACGACATAAAGGAAAAGGAAATAGACTCTGAAGTTTTCCCTTTTCGCGGGTTTGACGTAAAGTTGATGAGAAATTAAATCGGACGGGGATAAGGCAGGACGCAAAGAGACCTGGGAGGCGGGGACATGGGTCCAGAAAACCTTTTTTCTCTCAAAATTCAATCCACCCAAAAGGGGGCAAAGTCATGAAGATTGGGAGGGGCAAAGAAACCGCAACAGAGTATGGCTAGGTGGACCCAAAAACTACAGAAACCCCACTCAGGGAGAAAACCTTGGGGTGACCATAACACCGAGCACATCACCGGAGGCACACATCAACCCCAAAAAACCGCTGCAGCAAAACGGCGCCTGGCAAACCTGGAAAAAGCGTTCCCATCCTTAATAAGGGAAACGTTCAAGACACTGTACAAATGGGGTATGTTAGGGCCCAAAACTGGAAATATGCAGGCCCCCCATCTTTGGGAAACCCCCACCTTTTCAACACGTCAAGAAGTTAGAGAAAAATACAAAGGTTTGAACAAGGCTAGTCCCAGAGCTAAAGGGAATGTCGTACGGGGAAAGGTTAAGGGAAATCGGACTGACGCACGAGGACAAAAAGGGTCAGGGGGACATGAAAACGACATAAAGAAAAACTGCGGGAATAGACAAGGGGACAGAGATAGGGATTTCCCAGAGAGGGGACACAGGGAAAAGGGGGTCACAACGGGAACTGAAGACTCAGACATCACGGGGGTTGGGAAGTTTTTTCTCAGTCAAGAGTTGTCAGCAAGGGGAAAGCCTAGCAATGAAGTAGTGGGGCAGGAACCATAAAGTTTTAAAAAGAGGTATGACAAAGCTCGGGAAGCGAGAGAGAGGGGACCAGTAGCGATCAGAAAAAGGGCGGGGCCAGAGCTGGTCTCGCCCCCTGAAACCCACAATTAGGTGAGTACCTGGGGTTTTCCCTTTTTTGCGATGACGTGAAGTTGATGAGAAGAATTCACTCGATCAAAGACCACAGAACTAAAAAGGGATCTGAACAGGCTGCAACCTGGTCCAGAAATTGGTCCTGGATTAAATCCCACCAAGTGCAAAGCAAAAATTTGGGGGAAGGGCAAAGAAGACCGCAGACGGATACGTCTGGGGGGCCAGAGACTAAAAACCTCCCCAAAGGGAAAAGATTTTGGGGGGGTTTAAAACACCAGGCCATCTCCTGAAGCGCCATCAACAAATAAAGGGGTGCAGCATATGGGCGCCTAGCAAACCTCAGAACAGCACCGACATCTTAAAAAAGGAATGTTTAGAAACCCTGTACACCGTGTACGTAGGCCCATTTTGGGGTAGCGGCACCATTTTGGAACCCCCCATCTAGCCAAGCCGTAAAGAAAATAGAGAAAGGCAAGGTTTGCAACAAGACTATCCCAAGCTAAGAGGTAGCCTACGAGGGGAGGTTTAAGGGGAAACCCAAACCCGACGACACTGGAGGGCAGAGAGACAGGGGGACCCCTGTAAGACTACAAAAAACTGAAGGAATTGACAAGGTGGACAAAACGGAGTTCCAGAGATTGGACACATAACAAGGGGGCACAGTTGGAAGTTGAAGACACAGAGAATCACGGATGTTAGGAAGTATTTTTTCAGCCACAAGTAGTCAAAGTGGAATAGTTTGGGAACGATGTAGTGGAGGGGATCCATACATAGCTTTAAGCAGAGGATGATAAAGCTCACGGTTCAGAGAGAGTGACTTGTAGCGATCATGAAGAGCGGGGGCCAGGGGGCTCGAATCGACCCCCGCAACCCCAAATAGGGGTAAAAAGTAGGTGATACCGCACAGCACACACACACACACACACACAAACCAACACAAAGCACTGTTTAATGCTTTATTTTCAGGTGTCTTTGCCTCAAAAAAATTCTCATTATAGACCTAATGGTAATAATAAGTTGCTAGAATAACTGGTTAACAAATATCTAGTATTTTACTTACAAATCTAAAACTCTCTTCCCTCATCAATTTGGTTGTCTGAGTTGTTCTACCATAGACTACTTAATCTACTTCGATACACACAGGTCCTTCTTATATAGTAGGTTCGGTTCTGGGCTACTGCTGTAAAGTGAAACAGTTCTTTCTTTATATATTATATATATATATATATATATATATATAATATATATATATATATATTATATATATAAAATTATATATATATATATATATACATGTATATATACATATATTATATATATATATATATATATATATATATATATAATATATATATATATATATATATATATATATATATAAAGCCCGATAACATGTTTTCACTACCATATATTAAGTGAGCAATATAGCTAGGCTTAAATAAAGCATATTCAGTACACGCTACTTACAGGAGGGCCCCGCTTTACAGTGCTTTGCTGGTACCTGACCAGCCGGGCTGTGGCTCGTACATTGGATTGCGTGCAGCCAGCAGTAAGAGCCTGGTTGATCAGGCTCTGACCCACCAGGAGGCCTGGTCACAGACCGGGCCGCGGGGGCGTTGACCCCCGGAACTCTCTCCACATGACAGACACACACACATACTACGTGAAGAAACAGCCGGCACCCCTCTGGGAGGACTGCCAGCTTGCTGTCAGGTTCCCTATATCTAAATAAACTGTCCTATCAGAACAAAGAATTCTCTTCTGACATCTACAATGCCTTAATGTCCTCCCACTTTTAATAATGAGTCACTGACTTTTTAAGGAAGTTAGCCTATTGCACCATCCATGATGACTAATTTTTCACTCTCACAATCCCCTTAACTAACTCCTACCTCTTGCACACCCCTAACTTAACCATTGCTATCCATGGCAATTTTTGACCCAAAGTGATTGAGGTGGTGGAACTGGTGGTAGTGATGGATTAGTAACCATGAATGAGCGCTGTGCACCAACCCTTGGACTAGACTGATCTTCACTAGAACTTCCAAGACTGGCCTCAATGTGCCTAACAGACGGTGTTCTGTAGTTTCAGACACAAACTACAGACCCAGTTTCAGAGATCGCGCCTGAGAGACTTCATCCCCCCTGATGTGCGATTTCCGGGTTTATGTCTTCCAGACATGCCATTTAAAAGTTTAAGCCATAATAACATTTTTAACCAAACCTACACACGAAAATCACTCTCTGTGAAAGCAAAAGACTCGGCAGAAGATGCAACATTCCTCCGATGAAAAGCAGGGGCGCCATGAGTACACTGAGAGACAACACAGTAAGTGTCCGGGGCACAAGACTGTTCAACTGCCTCCCAGCATACATAAGGGGGATTACCAATAGACCCCTGACTGTCTTTAAGAAAGGACTGGACAGGCACCTAAAGTCAGTACCTGACCAACCGGGCTGTGGCTCGTACGTCAGCTTGCGTGCGGCCAGCAGTAACAGCCTGATTGATCAAACCCTAATCCACCATGAGGCTTGGTCTCAGACCGAGCTGCGGGGGCGTTGACCCCCGAAACCTTCTCCAGGTAAACTACCTATCATTCCGTGTTGGTGGGTGTAGAGAGGAGGGAGTGTAAAGTTCAGACTTGGACCTGGTGATAACGTATGGGAGGGAGGTTGTAGTGGTAAGGGTGGGAGAATGTACATTCACACGCTCACATTATAAGTATGAGATCTAAACGGAACGTGGGCAGTGTAAGGTAATATCGTGGCACGTATCACTGGGTATAACATGGCATTTATCCACACTTGCTTTTATATACCGCTGTTGCTGCTGGTGTTAAACTGTACACAGGATGGCTATGCAAGCAATGCTGACATCTTAAGAAACATTAATGCTGCAGTAATTACTAGCGATGGACGACAAAATGGCGAAACAAACGTGGAAGCGTCGGCAAGAGCGAACAGACAAGACATGGTTAGTGGTATTTCATGTCCAGCTGCTGAAGCCATCTTTCCTTGCATGTGCACCAGCGAGCCGGGCGAAGAACGCATCAACTTGGACCTTGACTGCTCCGAGGTGGAGAACGAGGACCAGCTGGAACAAATCATGGCCTCACCCTTTCCCTCCACCAACTTCCGCAGCCTCACCATAGTGGAGAATGCTAACTTAAAGGTGCTGAGGGCTGGCATCCTGGGTAACACCACCTACGAGGAGTTTTATATATATTGGTCTACTCTGGAGGAGGTGGAGGCAGGAGCTCTCTCCGGCAGCCACTCCACCGCAACTCAGATAGTTTTGCCAAGTAACAAGATAACGATGTTTCCGTGGGAAGAGCTCCCGTTGTTCACCAGTCTCGTAACACTAGAACTCTCTGATAACAAGATAACACCATTTCCAACCTTAGCTTCAGAAAGCCTACAAAACCTTGGCCTGATATTTAATCCTCTTGAGTCACTGCCTCTCACAGCATTCAGAGCCACACCTTCATTACTCACTATCTCTCTGGAGAAAGCTAGAATCAGTAATGTGATTCCAGGTATTCTTCTATTTATTCTGTTAAAAAATATACTAAAATGCAAAATATATCTCGCTCTTTTAAATTTATAAATTTTGCAGATTAAGAGAATATCGTATCTTCCTCTTCCATTACTGGGAAATAAGGATTTCAGTATATATTTTTACTAAATAAAATTCTAAAATTGTCAATATACCCAAACTGTTCCATATATCGAATCTGATTGCTTCCCTTTAACCCCGGGAGTTGCATGACCATAGGGGGTTAAGCTCTTCCTCTAATTTTTAAAAAAACTAACAACACCCAACTAACAGCCTTCTTAACAGAGCCACTTACCCTGTGCTTCTATTTACACTATGGTCTCCCAGGGACGTTCGATGGTCTCGCCCAACTTCTCGAAGTGGATCTTTCTGGTAATCAGCTGAATGAACTCCTCACTGGTACGGTCCAATTCACCAGCACTGGACGTCACTATCTTTTTTTCCAGCGAAACAACATCAGCCGAGTGGCATCCAGTGCTTTCACAGGTGAGCCTCCTCCAGTATGCAATAAGTGTCAGGGGTCCGAGACTGTTCAACTGCCTCCCAGCATACATAAGGGGGATTACCAATAGACCTCTGGCTGTCTTCAAGCAGACACTGGACAAGAACCTAAAGTCGGTGCCTTACCAGCCGAGCTGTGGCTCGTACGTTGGATTGCGTGCAGCCAGCAGTAACAACCTGATTGATCAGGCTGTGATCCACCAGGAGGCCTGGTCACAGACCGGGCCGCGGGGGCGTTGACCCCCGGAACTCTCTCCAGGTAAACTCCAGGTATAACATCAGCCGAGTGGCACCCAGTTCTTTCACAGGTGAGCCTCCTCCAGTATAACATCAGCCGAGTGGCACCCAGTTTTTCACAGGTGAGCCTCCTCCAGTATAACATCAGCCGAGTGGCACCCAGTTCTTTCATAGGTGAGCATCCTCCAGTATAACATCAGCCGAGTGGCACCCAGTTTTTCACAGGTGAGCCTCCTCCAGTATAACATCAGCCGAGTGGCACCCATTTTTCAACAGGTGAGCCTCCTCCAGTATAACATCGGGCCGAGTGGCACCCAGTTCTTTCATAGGTGAGCCTCCTCCAGTATAACATCAGCCGAGTGGCACCCAGTTCTTTCACAGGTGAGCCTCCTCCAGTATAACATAAAGCCGGTGGCACCCATTTTCTTTCACAGGTGAACCTCCTCCTGTATAAACATCAGACCGAGTGGCATCCAGTTCTTTCACAGGTGAGCCTCCTCCTGTATAACATCAGCCGAGTGGCACCCAGTTTCTTTCACAGGTGAGCCTCCTCCGTATAACATCAGCCGAGTGGCATCCAGTTTCTTTTCACAGGTAAGCCCCCCCAGTAAAAACATCAGCCGAGTGGCACCCAGTTTTTTCACGGGTGAGCCTCCTCCTGTATAACATCAGCCGAGTGGCACCCAGTTCTTTCACGGGGAGCCTCCTCCTGAAATAACATCAGCCGAGTGGCACCCAGTTCTTTCACAGGTGAGCCTCCTCCTGTATAACATCAGCCGAGTGGCACCCATTTTCTTTTCACAGGGGAGCCTCCTCCAGTATAACATCAGCCGAGTGGCACCCAGTTCTTTCAAGGTGAGCCTCCTCCAGTATAACACCCAGCCGAGTGGCATCCAGTTTCTTTCACAGGTGAGCCTCCTCCAGTATAACATCAGCCGAGTGGCCCCCAGTTCTTTCACAGTGAGCCTCCTCCAGTATAACATCAGCCGAGTGGCATCCGTTTTTTCCCACAGGTGAGCCCCTCCAGTATAACATCAGCCGAGTGGCACCCAGTTTTTTCCCACAGGTGAGCCTCCTCCAGTATAACATCAGCCGAGTGGCACCCAGTTCTTTCACAGGTGAGCCTCCTCCAGTATAACATCAGCCGAGTGGCACCCATTTTTTTCACAGGTGAGCCTCCTCCAGTATAACATCACCGGGAAGTGGCACCCAGTTCTTTCACAGGTGAGCCTCCTCCAGTATAACATCACCCGAGTGGCACCCAGTTCTTTCACAGGTGAGCCTCCTCCAGTATAACATCAGCCGAGTGGCACCCAGTTTCTTTCACAGGTGAGCCTTCCTGTATAACATCAGCAGATTGGCACCCAGTTCTTTCACAGGTGAGCCTCCTCCAGTATAACATCAGCCGAGTGGCACCCAGTTCTTTCACAGGTGAGCCTCCTCCAGTATAACATCAGCCGAGTGGCACCCAGTTCTTTCACAGGTGAGCCTCCTCCAGTATAACATCAGCCGAGTGGCACCCAGTTCTTTCACAGGTGAGCCTCCTCCAGGCTACACCCAGTGGTTTTTTTCCTTTCATGTTCATACTTATTCCTTTCTCCGAAGTGTGTGAGACAACAGGCTTCATTTTCAGTTAGTTTTCAAGGAAAACTATATGCAATAATGCACTCACTAGTATAATACCGAGTCACATCCACGTTACATATCCAGTGAATATTTATACCTGTTGAACTGTAGAGGTTGATACAGAACGTCAACATCCTTTAGTTCAGTAGTCGGAGGTTGAACAAAAAATCGTTTACTGGGAGAACCTTGTCAAATGATTTTACATGTTAGTTAAAGTAGAAGTTACCAAGCCGACGGGACTTGTAGTTGAAGATACTCAACTGCAGCTCACCCTGGTACTTGAGACTTGGTTAAGATACGATTTTGTTCGGAGTTTTAACCCCGGAGAGTTAGCCACCCAGGATAACCCAAGAAAGTCAGTGCGTCATCGAGGACTGTCAAATTCAAATTCAAATTCAAAGTTTATTCCCTATAAGGATTACAATGCTGAGTTTTCAGAATTTGGTTATTGTGTGGTTTACATGTAGTAAAATAATAATTACAGAGTGTACCACTAGAGCACCTAGCATGGCTAGGCATTTCGGGCAGACTTAGATTAAATCTTAATTTTAAAATATTACAAAATTATGAAGTAAGTTGGTATTATGGCTAAGTGACTAAATACTAGTTTGTGAGTTTAGCAATGTGAATGCTTTTGTTTTGGCACTGTTGTGATAGAAACACAGGCCTTATCTCTAGGCTTTATTGAACATAGAATCTTCATAGTACTTCTGCAACAACAAAATATAATGACTAGTACATCTAATAATAGCTTCTACAGGGATGGTGATGTCTTGCATATGTCAAGAGAAAAGTTATAACTACAGGCCACATATTTAAACTCACCATGTAATCTGCATCGCTGATAAATGGATAAAGTAGGAGAGAATCACACACCATGTGTTGGTGCCCATGACACACACCAAACTGTTGTTGTTGTTAAGGGCCCCTAGAGGTGGTGCAGTATTATCCTGCTGCTGCTCTCCACAGGACCAGTATCACTACAGGCACTATACATAGTTTCAGTATTGGAGTATCACAGGCCAACTTATGACTAGTTAAGATTCATTATTTTGAGATTGAGATTGATATTTCTGTTTATGGTCAAATGGGTGAGTGAGTGTAAGTGTGAACCACCAGGTGGTATTCGTGTAGTTAGTTGACGGGGTGTATCAGGGAGATAAGATGTTTTCTGATGGTAGTTTTGAAGGTGATGAATGTGTCTGCAGTTTTAGAATTTTCAGGTAGGGTGTTCCAGATTTTAGGGCCTTTGACATACATTGAGTTTTTGTAAAGGTTTAGTCGGACATGAGGAATGTCATAGAGATGTTTGTGTCTGGTGTTGTGCCTGTGGGTTCTGTCACAACTATCAAGAAAGGTTGAGGTTTCTAAACCTGTATTCCCTGGAACGCAGGAGGGAGAGATACATGATTATATACACCTGGAAAATCCTAGAGGGACTAGTACCGAACTTGCACACGAAAATCACTCACTACGAAAGCAAAAGACTTGGCAGACGATGCACCATCCCCCCAATGAAAAGCAGGGGTGTCACTAGCACGTTAAGAGACCATACAATAAGTGTCAGGGGCCCGAGACTGTTCAACTGCCTCCCAGCACACATAAGGGGGATTACCAACAGACCCCTGGCAGTCTTCAAGCTGGCACTGGACAAGCACCTAAAGTCAGTTCCTGGACGTTGGTTTGCGTGCAGCCAGCAGCAACAGCCTGGTTGATCAGGCGCTGATCCACCAGGAGGCCTGGTCACAGACCGGGCCGCGGGGGCATTGACCCCCGAAACTCTCTCCAGGTAAACTCCAGGTAAAGCGTTTTAGGTCAAGGTTAATATTGGAATTCAAGGTCCTGTAGATGTAGATTGCACAGTAGTAAGTGTGGATGTACTATGAAGAGTGGGGAGGGGTGTTGCCAGGGATGGGATTTAGTGATTATTCTTACTGCAGTTTTTTGTTGGGTTATTATTGGCTTTAGGTGTGTTGTTGCAGTTGAACCCCAAGTGCAGATAGCATAGGTGAGGTATGGATATATAAGTGAATGGTATAGTGTGAGAATGGCAGTTTGCGGCACATAGTATCGTATCTTGGAGAGGATCCCAACCGTTTTGGATACTTTTTTGGTTATGTGTTGGATATGGGTGCTGAAGTTCAGGTTGTTGTCGAGGTATAGGGCCTAGGAATTTGCCATTCATTATGCCTGGCAATTAGAGTGTTGTCGATCTTAATGTTAATTTGCGCATCTCCTGCTCTGCTACCGAACATAATGTAGTAGGTTTTGTCAGCGTTAAGCGTAAGTTTATTGGCTGTCATCCAGGTCGATATTTTGATCAGCATCTCATTAACAATGGTGTTGAGGGTGGCAAGATTAGGGTGAGAGATGACATAAGTCGTGTCATCAGCAAAGAGAATGGGGTTCAGGTTTTGAGATACGTTTGGAAGATCATTGATGTACATGAGGAAGATTATTATTATTATTATTATTATTATAATCAAAAAGAAGCGCTAAGCCACAAGGGCTATACAGCATATGAGGAAGAGCAGGGGACCAAGGACACTTCCCTGCGGAACTCCAGTATCAAGTGGGTGTGTTGTTTTATTTATTTATTTATTTAGAAATTTTAGCATACAAACAGAGGTACAAAAAATACAGGTAAGAGCAGCATGCCAAAGCCACTTATATGCATAGCATTACGGGCTGGCTTAAAATTAACTTAAGATTAACTAAGCAATGATGAAATCAGTGATAAGACATTATTGTAAACAGATAACTATGAAATACAAATGAGTATTACAAAGACAGGTCCTATGGTTGCATGCATTGCTGTTCATTCAGTAGAATGGAGTATTCTGTTAGGTAGTGTATTGTTGTTGCTGTGTCTTTAATGGTGACATACTGATACCTATTAGTAAGGTAAGATTAGAAATATGCAAGTGCATGGCCTCTTATACCATAATGGTCAAGTTTGTGGAGTAGGATGCCATGGTCTACTGTGTCAAAAGCTTTTCTTAGGTCAATAAAAATTCCTAGTGGATATTCCTTATTTTCCAATGCTGTGTAAAGCAGATCTAGCATTTTTATAATTGCATCATTAGTGCTTTTATTTTTCCTGAATCCAAATTGGCAGGGGTTGAGTATGTTTTGTGCCGTTATAAAATGAATATAGTCTCCTGTGCACGAGTTTCTCAAAGATTTTGGATAGCAATGGTAAGTTTGATATTGGCCTATAGTT